CCCTCCACCCCGCGGCCTTGTAGGCCTGGAGAGGGGGGGAGGAGGCCGAGACAGAGCCTGCTACCTTGTCCGAAGCCGGAAACCAAAGAGAGCAAGAGAATTCTGTCTGTACTTCTTAAGGGGGTGTTTACAAGTTGAATTCACTTTTTAATGGTCAGATCTGCTGTCAATTCTTGAAAATGACCGATAATTGGTCAGGAGGGAAAAACTCTCATCAGCCACCAGCAGCTTCAACTTCCTCTCCCTCCAAGCTGTCTTAAAGGTAAAGCTACCCCATGACACTATAACTGAAAAGTAACTGAAAGTTTTTTCCATTTTTCATTTTAAAACATGAACAGTACAAAAAAGATGGGCGAAGCACACAAATTGTAAAACATTGCGACATCCATGAGCTTATGGAAAGTGCTGCATGTGTGGTTTCTTTGCTGCCTCACAAATGCATGTGTGGATGTAGTCCTTGATAATATCATTGATGTGTGTTATTCTTTTTTCAGGCAAAGGGCAGAATTGTGGTAGTGCCAGGTAATGTTTTTTTGTCTTCTGTACCAGGTTCTGCAATCCCTAGCCTTTCCTTGCTGGCCTCTTGCCCTGGAATCCACTCTCTGATCTGGCTTTCCCTACAGCAGGGAGCCAGCTGCCTGGGAGGAGCAGCAGCTCCTGTCCCAGTGTGAGTAAAGACCATGCTGCCTGTTGGGGACAGCAGAGCCCTGCAGCTATTGCTCCCTGGATTTGGGGACAGTTCTAGATCTGTAGGAGAACATAAACCAAGGCGTCTCATATCCCTTTTCATGTTCCTGGGTCTCTGTTGTTCCAAGGGATGTTTTTTCCCTTCAGTTTATATGGTTCCTGTCCCTTAGTGGCGAGATCCCCGGGTGATGTCAGGTGTGGAATAGTGTTACCTGCTCAGTGTGTGACATCGGGCTTGTTCCCACCAGGAGGTGGCATCACGGAGCGCAACCTGCAGAGGATTCTGGAAGGCTCCACTGCTTCTGAGTTTCACTGCTCTGCTCGCTCAGCTCGGGACTCAGGAATGAAGTTCAGGTAACTGATTATTTATTTTTTAGCAGAACTCTGTGAGGGAAAGGCTATATGAATGTGAACATGAGTTTGTAGAACTGGCAGAAATTTCAAACAGCTTCCCGAGTGCTAGTTTTGCTTTTACGTTTGGGATCATGGTGCCTGACATTGTATTCTGCAGTGCATGAATCCAGCAGTGCTCCTCATGTGGACATGAGTTCCATGCAGAAGCAGAGCCTTGGGACATCTCTCTCGCTAATGCTGCCTTAGGAGTTTTTAGGGCACTTGGGAAGGCAGGTTGTGGTGTAGTTTTTTTAGACTTTTAACATAAGCATGTAAGATTTGGGAAGCCGGTGGGATGTGCTTCTGAGAAATGAGTCAAGAATGGATTGTATTTACCCATAGGTCTACACTCCTTTGGATTATTGTTCTTTCTATTGCTGTCCCATCTTTGGTTTGGGTGGCACCATCTTTGGCCAATACTGAAGCTACAGGAAATACGGGAGTATTTTTCTTGGTGGATCTTACTCATCTGTATCACCAGCAGATCACCACTAATCACTGGTTTTCCTGACAGAAATCCCAACGTTGC